AGCAAAAAACTACAGTGTCTTTTGCTGACAACAAATTATGACATACTTCACAATTATTTTAAACTTAAAAAGCCAGTATTGCTGCCAAAAAAATGTTGCAAGGTACAACCAACTGGGGAGCCCATCCATGTTTAAAAAAAACCTCTTCCTTTTGTCAGATCACTTTTAACTCAGATGAATTCTTGACCTTGGTCGCAAATTCTATGTTATGAATGCAGAACCACTTCTTTCTCCAGCAGTGAAAGCTTAAAGCAAATATCACCTACATAGCTGAGAACACTGCATTTAAATAGTGTTGAGGTTTTTGTTCCCCTTTGCTACTCTTAACCTGACTTTGCCCAGTTGGATTTTGGTTTTAACTGCCACTTACCAACTGCTATCTATCAATCTGTTATCTAATGCCTATAAATGCATGTCTTTACTTGATAACTCACCTGTTTTGTTGATTTTTTAGTTCCATTAAATATCTTCCATGCAAGACCATTACCTCCACTGGCAATATGACGGCCCACATCAAATTCCCTGGTAACAGGGTTTCCCATGACCGCACTGGTGACATCAGCCGTTACCTTTGTAACGGTACTCTTCAATTTATTCAGCATGGACTCCATGGTTTCAACTGTGCACCGATGTATTATCCTACAAAGACAAGAAAAAAACAAGGGTTCACAGTCCTCTCAATTTCTGCTAACGAAAGGTGCATGTTGAACACTACAACTTCTAAGGATCCAACAGGATACAGGAGCAAGCCACAAAAAGAATAGTGAAATATAACTTCCAGGGCACATTCACACTGCATACATGTATCTGTGCCTGCATTCCTATGGGATTATATGTCATTGCTTCTACTCTTCCTCAGAAACTTCTGAATCTCTTGATTGTTCTTCGTTAGATCTAACAAAGAAATTCAATCATTTCTGGGAAATGGGTAACTGAATAAAGCAGAGAATCTATATACTGTCCCCCTGACAGGAAATGTCCACACCTTGTGTATCAGTATAAATCAACAGAGAAATAAATCTGAAGGAAACCAGACTCCTTTATTTCCAGTGCTCATGGAACTACACATTTTCTGAAGGGAAGGATTACTTAAGATCCCAGACTAGCAAAATAATAGATGTGTATTATACAGATGACAAGCAAAAAAAAAAAAGTGTTCTTTCCTACACTGTGCTTTTCAAAATACAGGCTCAAAATTCAGTATTTTACCCATTAGATTGCTGGCATTACTATTTGTATGATCTAACTATTAATGAACTTAAGTATTAATGCAGGGGAAGGAAACAAGAAACCATCTTTTTATACTTTATCAAAATTGCACAAGGAAGTTTTTTTACGTCACCTTTCAAATTTAAGAGCTAAAAGACTCTGGCAGCTTCCAATTTAGTTCATCTTCCCCTGCAGTGTATACTTCCAGAGTTTCCTAAATTGTCATAAAAAAAAGTCTGACTTGCCTATTCTGCGAGACAGAAGTTCTGAAGCCTATGTCGCATTTATACAATTGTCTCTCTGATAATGTATACACAAGAAGGAACAAAGGCAGCAAACAAACCATGAAAAAATGAGATAGACACTCATCTTCCTTATCAGTGTGAGCAAAGATGAAGAGAGAATGCAAGAAGAAATTATTTCCAGGAGTCAGTATCATGCAGTATATTCAAAAGCAACATTCAAGGATATTTCTTCAGTCTCTCTTTCAAATAAGGTGTAAAGAGCACTATTTCTTAAAGGTAAAATAAACCTAAAATAGCACATCAGCAAATATACTGAAATCTGCAGAAATACTTTTTTCAATTATGGCCTTATTTGTCTTATACTCAACTCATTGGCATACTATTGTGTAAAACTGCTTCTTTGAAAAATAGAGAATGTTATTGCTATCTAAATGGAAGCAACAAGATTCTGTTGTGATAAAGATGATGTTTACCAAGTCAAGGTAACAACAACAAAAGAAGCAAAAGGCATAACAAATAATCCAGTGAGCACAGACAAATCAGCCCAAATGTCCTTCTGATCAGATACGAGGAGCTTACTTGTATGACCTAAAACTCTTTCCACGGTATTACACACATTTAAAAGACAATATTTTAGCCTAAATAGGTTATCTGGTGTCTATCAATATATGCATTTACACCACAGCTTTTTCCCCATTCAAGACACAGATGGAGTTTGTTTCCTCTTCACAGCTCCTTAGTCCCAAAAAACCTGTAGCAACTTTCTTTTGACACCTGTACACCTCAGTCAAACCTGATTAAAATCAACCACACTAACATTATTTGGACATGCACGCCTTCGCTCCCCGGTACTATTAATTTGATTGCATTAGAAATCTGGACAAATAATCAGATTAGTTTTAAAACGCAAATATAGGCTTTTTTTTACAAAAAAGGCAATAAACATACTAAATAAAACTCCTTAAAAGTTACGTGTGTTATGGAATAATTCACTCCAGTGCAGTTGTGTGCAACAGTATAAGCCAAGCCCTAAGCAAACTTCAGCACAGTGCTGGAAGCAGCACAGTTGTGCTGCTCTGCCTTAACTATTGCTGCAGTTATATTCCACCTTCACTATTCCCCCGGAGGGAAATGCAGAAATACACTAATGCTGTGGCTCCATAGGTACTTCTCCAATTTCCATGTCAGCTGAAGTGACATAACTTTGTTTGAAGAAATCAGACTAGGAGTTTTAAGAAAATATATTATAAAAAAAGACAGGAAATCCAGGAGCAGAAACAGATATGACTGCAAACACGTTAAGGGTGGAGTTTGTCTTAATTGCGGGGACTTTTAGATAAAAGAAACTGTGTCTGAAATCAACAAAATAATCTCCAGAATAACTACATACTTGTTTGGTAGCTGATGTTTGGTTGAGAACATACCTGGAAATAAATTACCAAAACACAGAATTCCTTTATTAAGTAGTTTCATTACAGTATGTGACATTTTATTATTACAGTTTACTTTATAAATTGTGCTATGGAAAAGCACCTGAAACTCCTAACTTTGCAGCCCCAGACCAAACAGTTATTAGACACAAGCTAATGTCCCTGTATAAAGGAACTTTTCATTAGTCTGATAAATGGTAGAAAAAAGGATCATGGAGTATTCTAAAAAGGAGCTATAGGCATTTCCAGCTCTCAGAGATTTTATTCTGCAGCTACTCTATGGGCATACTCTATATGCTAAAGGACTATAAAATCAATCCTAAGGAGTTTAAGATAATCACAAATCTAAATTTATTTGGTTTTAGATCTTGTGCTTTTTCCATTGTTTCATTCACTCCCAGCCATCGAACCTTCCCTAGTAGCAATGAAACACCATCTTGTGCTAGGATTCTCAAAACTATAAAAGGCTCTGCAAAATTAGCTGCAGATATATTATGAAGAAAATGCCTGTGCGTGCATGTTCAAATTTCTTTGTGTAATTCTGAAAGGGAGCTTCTCTACACAGGCGGTGGAAAAAAGGTGTAGTATTCATTAAATCAGAAGTGCCCTCTGCTATGGGTGACAGACTAACTGCAGTGAGTAGCCTGGAAAAGCCACTAGGTGAGAATGTTAACAGCATTCCAGTGTTTGAAGCGTTAGAATCTGAAATTCAAGCCTGGTAGACCCTGTCCAACCTGTTCCTCTCCAACTTGACAGTATGCAAACTATTGTTTAATTTAGCTACTGAGCAAGGAGTACCATGAAACTTCCTTCTCAAAATAGTGTGGTTTAATGTTTACATCCATCAAACTGCAAATTTGTAGAAATTCTCATGTCAACACTTGACTATAAGCTAATAGTACATTTTGCTCCATAAAAGTGATTGCTATTACCAACTTCAGTAAAAACTCTGTATTATGCCAACAAGAACAATGCACCTAGAAAATCCACACGCCCCCCCAAATATCTATTTTGTGTAGTATCTATGATACCACAAATCATGATAATTTAACCACATGAGAAATATGCAACTTTAGTTCTCTACTGCAGGAAAACTGGTTTGTTTGGTTCTTTTAAGACTGGTCTGCTAATTCTAGAAAAATTAATATCCAAATGGCAATAAAGTCAGTCACCCACAATGAAATTTTCATTTAAAATTAAAAGATAATAAATGAGACAAGTACAAAATCTGAAGAGTAACAGTGTTTGGACAAGCAACACAGGACATGCAACAAATGATTAAGAACTCAGATTTCTTCCTCTTTGAATTTCACGGGTAATATTAATGCTACTGATACTAAGTCCATGAAACCTGGAACTAATCCTAAAAAAATCTGGATGATCAATGTGTCCTTTTCATGAATACCCCTCACAACTGAAAAAGGGTTTTATCTTGATGTACATCAGCAATGATATGTCAGCATGATGAGGACAATTACTTAGCAAGGTAGTAAGCAACAACCAACACTGCTCTAAGAAATGAGGCAAAATATCCAAAATGTTGAAATAAAGGCTGTTGAAATCCAAAACAAAGATTCCCCACCATTCTTTAATTCTCACTCATCTAAAACAATTAACTGCAAGATGTAAATCCATTAATTTATGTTTGAACTAATTCATAGCTTCATCTGATGTATGGATATGGGTGCATACCGTACAGCACTGCAATGTACATTCTACCACTATTTTGACTATAATAAGCCTGGATTCCTCTTTGGGAACCAAGGCAACAGGCAGATACATGGGTACTTCATGCCACCCAACCCCTATCCTGTCCCAAATCAGGATGAATTCATAGAAAAAATAAATGCTGGAAAAACTGAGTCACACCAAACAAAAGGAGAAAACCCCAACATTTTTCAGGCACAACCAACCTTTTGCATTTGTTATAAAAACAACGGGAAGACCAAATGCAATGAAGCACCGTGCACGGGCTAACTGCCCTCACTGCGAATCACCTCCGCGACTTTTATTCCCCATTTCGGTACTGAGCTGCAGCTGAATCCCTAACGAACACTCACGGTACGAGATCCACGAACGGGGATCTGCCACCTGCCGACAGGCGAAACTCAGCCTATACGCTGCACAAACCCCAGGACAGCCTCATGAGGGCCAGTCCTCCGGGCAAAGTATTTACTGTATTTACAGCGAGCCCGGGCTCGCACCGCTCCGCCAGCGGCACAGGGACTCCGCTCGCCCCCGCGGGGCCGGTGCCCGGGCTCGGCTCCGCGGGGCAGGCCGGAGGCAGCGCGCTCGGGGCGGGGGCGGCCGCGGTCACAGGCGGCAGGTAACCCGCGACCCGCCGGCTCGGGCAGCTCAGCGCGACCCGCCGGGCCCTGCCCGCGCAGCCATCGCGCCTCCAGAGCGGCCCTTCCCCTCCACCCTTCGGCGCCGGGCACCCGGGACCCGAGCCCGCCGCCTCCCGCCCCAGGAGCCGGCCGGCCCTGCCCGCCCCGCGCAGTACTACCAGGCCAGGGGCAGTCGCTCCTGCCCCGGGCCGCGGCCTCTCACCTGAGCCCGCGGGAAGCTGCCAACACAGCGCCCGGCTGCCCGTCGCCCTGTGGGCCCGGCGGGCCGCCTGTCACGCCGGCTCCGTCTCTCGCTCCGGCCCCGTCCCGCTGCAGCTACTCCATAGCGACAGCGGCGGCCAGAGCGGCGGGGCGGGGGCGGCCGGAGCGCGGCTCACTTCCGACCCGCAGGGGCGGTGCTGGGCGCGGCCGGGGGCGGCGGGCGGGAAGTGATGCGCTCCGGCGGCTTCCGCCAGCGGCTCGGCCGAGCCCATGGCGGGGTATTTGACTCCGCGCTTCAGGAGGATCCGGAGTCGGGGCGAGTTGGAGCCGCGGCGGGGGAGCGGGCGGCGGCAAGGTGGGGTAAGAGCGTCGTCCCCGCCTCTCCGCAGCTTTTCCTCCCGCAGTGTCTGGGGAGCTGGCGGCGGCTTCGCGCCTCGCCGGGAGCGGAGCGGGCTCCCAGGGCCGGCGTCCGTACGGGCGGCCCCGGCTGCTGGTGCTGCGGGAGGGACCCATGGCCGGTCGGCGGGCGGGACAGGGCTAGCGGGGGGCTGGCAGCTGACCGGGAAACAGAAGAGCTTCCTCCGGCTTTATGCCCCGGCGCCGGGGTTGCGGCGGCCGCCGCTGGTACGACTCGGCGTGGAGCTGTGGCCAGGTGTTCCGACCGGGAGGCAGTTGGGATTAATGCATTGCAAGCGCTGGTTTGCCATCTGCTGAGCTTGTAGCTATGCGTGAGGTTAAACTGGGGACTGGGGAACACCTCCCCCAGGTGAAGCTGGGAGCGCTGGGACTACTCAGCCGGTAGCTGTCTGTCACCTGCTCAGGGGGTTCTCTGCAAGTATCTGAAGGGAGAGTGCAAAGAGGATAGAGCCAGACTCTTTTCAGTGGTGCCCAGAGAGGCTGTGATATCTTACGTGGCTCTCTCCGCTTCTGGAAATATTCAAAACTTGTCTGGACATGGTCCTGGGCGACCAGCTCTGGGTGGCCCTGCTTGAGCAGAGAGGTTGGACCAGATGGACCCCAGAGGCCCCTGAAAGTCCTGGCCATTCTGTGATTCTTTAGTGTTTTAATGTATATGTACACAGCCCATTCATATAGTATGTATGTGTGGTCATAACAATGAAAAAAAAGCTTCCTCTCCTGTTTTTAGTGTCATTTTGTTATCTTGGCTCTAATGGGTGTGAGTTAGCTTACAAGACGGACTGATTCATGAAGCATTGTCTTTCTCTGTCTTTGTAAAATTCAGCTGATTTTTGAATATTTTTTATAATATATAGATATAACTAAATTCAGAGTGTTAAAATATGGGGGTTTAAATGTTAAAGGTTTATAAATCTGTAAAACTCTCATATAAATGTCTTGCAGATTGCAATGGTCCTTTTCAAGCAACTCAGCTGTGGAATGGTATTATACGTGCCCTCCACAATCAACTGGAAATCAAAAGACGTAGACAACATCTGAAAACATATAAAAACTGTTTTACTGGCTCAAATGCTGTCGATGTGGTACTGAGCCATCTTATGCAAAGCATGTACCTAAGCTGTAATGATATTTCTCGACTGAAGGGAGTCCGTGTATGCCAAGCATTGATGGATCACAAGGTGTTTGAGCCAGTTGGAGCAAAGCTTTGCTTATTCAAGAACGGGAAAGAAACAGAGTTTGAAGACACAGACACTAGTCTCTATAGATTTGTAAATAGCAGTCTTGATCCTCCTCTTCAAGGAATGAATGAGAACAATGAAAGCTTGTCTCCTGAGCAAATCTGCAAACAAAAAACAGTCAGATGTTCCAAGTGAGTTACTCCAAACTATTCTAATTTTTCTTTTTTTTTTTTTTTTCAATAAGTTAAGGTGGGTTACCTGTAGGTGAAGTTATGTCTGTCTAACTCATGTGTTGGAGACTTTTCAAAGCTATCTGTCAGTTTTGAGAATGTCATGCTTAAATTGCAGAAGCTACCGGGAATTTCTTGGTAATGTTAAAGTGCTTTGATTTGCCTTTTGTTATTTAGAATAGAGTCTGGCACAGTAGCATAAGCCTAGGTAAAATTTGGTTATGCAGTCGATTGTGCTGAAATCTGAGAATTAGCATGAATGAGGTAGGTACTGAACGCTGGTTAAGGAAATGGAACTAATAAACAGTATTTGGAATCAATATCCTTGCCCTTTCCACAAAGCAGATGTGGATGACTGGAATTCTAGCAGCATAACAAACCCCAGATACAATGAAGTCCTAAAGTTCTGATTTAAGAGCAATTTAGGAAGTAACAGACACATGTCCTAATCATATTTGTTATACAACTAAGTTTTTTTTTTCTCCCTGAGCAGAACAAAGTGTGACACACTTTCAAACCCCTCAGCATTAGAAGCAGCTGATAAAAAGAGGGTAGAGGAGCTTCTCCGATCAATCTATGTTCATGCATCTTTACCTCCAAAGATCATGGTTAATGAACCAATTCATCTGCTTTCAAAAAGAGGTGAGGATTGAATTTTTTCATTTAAAAACTTGATTGTTCTTCACTGCATCTTGGAGTGAGTATCCCATTTCTGTTAAACAATGCCCCTCGGAGTCCTAAATTTAACATATCACTAATGACAGAATATCTAAACGAATGCTAAATGGGTAAATGCTTGTAGTAAGTAAATTGAAGGAAACACAACAGGATTATGTTTTTGCAGAATGGTGCTGTTTATGCAAATACTACTTCAGAAGGAAGTAGGGTTTAAGACTAAGAACTTTTTTATTATATGATTCCTTTGCTATTCGCTTCTACTAATTAGAATAGATTATTATGAATTCTAATATGATGGGAGAGATATTTTTTTAGCATTCCTATTTTGGTCCCTTCTTCCCCAACAGAGAAACTTCACACTGTGCTGTTGGCGTGTTTGCTTTGAAGACTTAAAACATTCTTGAGTGAGGTAAAAACAAAGGTTAGTGGTTTACATAAGATCTTGTTTCTGAGGATTTTTTGTTTGTTTATGGTTTCAGTAATAGAAGATGTTTGGAAACAGCAAACTCTGTTGCGATTGCTGCAGTTAATTGATATTCCTCTTCTAGAAGATATCTTGGTGTCTTCAGTGAAGACAAAACCAGACTGTTTTGGCAAAGAAGAAGACCTAGTTATCTCAAATACTTTCCTGGACAGAGAGGTTACATGTAGCTTAAACTTGCCTGAGTAAGTTTGTACACATAGTGGGTTGGTGTTTGGTTTTAAATACTAGCTGAAATCCTGGGGTCGGTGACAGTCTAGCATAAATACAGCTTGTTTTGATTTGAGTGTACCTCAGGTGTATTGCCTGTAGCATAGGAAAACAATGCAAATTGCTTATTTTGAGCAGGTCCTTGAACTGCTGTAGTGAAATAAGTTACATCAACTGCGTAAAAACAAGCTCAGTGTTGTGGTTCAAATACATGACTATACCTTCATGGTTGTTTCTATCTAGTTTTATTTAAAGGAATAAATAAGAATAGGCAGAGCATTTTAAAGTAAGCACTAAAACTGACTTTTCCTTCTACAGGCTTGACAGATGGCTCTATGCTGCAATTGAATGCTTGGAGTATTTTCCCGACCAATTCATAGTGATGATTAGTCAGCAGTTACCTCAGAGCACTGACGAACCCAGCAATCTGAATACATACAAGAAGATTCTTTTTGACATTATAATGAAGTATTATAGTCAAAAGAAGGAATCTCTTCTTGCTGCTCAGGATCCCCATATTCATTCAGGAATTATAGAACTTATAGGTAAGAGCAACCTGGAACAAAAAATACGGGTGAAAGCTATGTAGAGGATGTAACTTGCTAAGCATCAATTGACTGAATCGTGACACCGTTTGCAATGCTATTGCAGATGCACTGTATAGCTTGGAAGGAAATGTTCAAGATCACTATTAAGAACCTCTGCTCAAGACAAGGACAAATTTCAAAGTTAGATCTCTGGGTTTCCCTTTCCCCATCCACGACGTGGGGGAGCCCAGCTCTAGTTCCTTCTCCGTCTGAAGAACCATTTCCGACGTGTTGGTGGACGGGGAAGGGGGACTCCAGTGTCTGAGGGTTTTTCAGGCCCCGAGCCTGGAGGGGAGAGGTGCCCCCCCCTCCCCCCAGCACCCACGTGGCTCCATGGCAGGCACAGAGACAGCACACCGGGCGTGGAGAGGAGGCAAGAGTTTATTGTTGGGAAGGGGTTTATAAGGCTTTTAGGAGGGTCAAAGGGGAACCAATCACAAGTTCAGGGTCACACAGAAAAAACCATCAGGTAAAGGGTCAACAGCCAATAGGAAGGGGTTAAACAAAGGACCAATGGGACACCTCGGGACACCTTTCCCAGGACATTCCTGCATGGGAGATAACAGTTGCTGTGGGGGGTGTTGGGAAGAAGAAACACGTGTTTGCAAAGGGACCACAAAGAGCCATTTTAAGACATGTTTAAACAAGTTTCTCATCAGATATAGTGCTACATAGATCAAGTTTGCTTAGGGCCTGGGCCAGCTGAATTTTGAAAATCTGCAAGGATAGAGGTACACCGACCTCTGTGGGTAGTTTCAATTAGTAACTACTCTCATTGCAAAAATTTCTTACCCCAAGTCAGAACTTCCCTTATAGTTACTTGTAACTAATAACTTTGTGGCAATGATTTTAGTTTTATGTTTTCGTGTTAACCAGAAAACAGTTTTGTAAATTCTGGATTTAGGGCACTTTTTAGTAATAGAAGTTATTTAAAATTATTAAAGGGACTGTTGAGATTGTGATTCAGGCTGTGATCCCCCCCTGCAAAACCCTCCTATCATAGGCTTACAAGTAAACCAGAACAGTTTAAGTTAAATACAAGTTTAAGATAAATCTTACCCTAAATAGGCTTTGTTACTTCTTCAGTTCTATAGGGTTGTTGTGGCTTAACCCCAGCTGCCAACTAAGTTCCACAGAGCCACTGACTCGCTACCTGCCACTACCTCACTCCTGGTGGAGGTAAAAAGTAAAACTTGTGAGTTGAGAAAAGAATGCTTTAATAATTGGAACAAAATGAAATATAATAATACTAATTATAGTAATAGCAGTAATAATAATTGTAATTATTACAATAATAACGAGATAGAGTGGAATAAAACCCAAGAGAAACAAGTGATGCACAATACAATCGTTCACCACTGATGCCCAGCCCATTCCTGAGCAGCAGTAAGTGTCTCTTGGCCAATTCCCCCGAGTTTATGTACTGGGCATGATGTTCCATGGTACGGAATATCCCTTTGGCCAGTTTGGATCAGCTGTCCACTCAACCCTAGCTCCCTCAGCTGCTCCTCACTTGCTTACGCTTTTGGTGTTCTTTTTAAACAAAGGTGGTTTCAAATGGCTTGTGGCACACTCCTGAAAGTCCTGGATTATTCCTTGTAAAATTCAAAGTCTGTCTTAGAAGTAGGACAGAGGCCAGAAAATCTTATGTATGTTGTATTCGTGTATCTGCCTTTGTCTTACTCTTGCTTTAAGAAAGTTAAACTTTTTCATAGCTTCTCACTTTCAAAATGAAGATAACTAGAATTATCATCTAGAGGGTTTGGAGATTATTTTCACTGTATGATGTTTCTTTGAGACTCTCATAGCCTAATGGCTTAAAGGAGGAGGGGGGAACACAGAGACATGATGCCTCACCAACCAACAGTAACAAAAAAAACCCCAAACAAACAAAAAAAGGAAAAACCCCAACAACAGCAAAAAGAAACCAAACCAAACAAACAAAACCCCCAACAAAACAAAAAGAAAACAACAAACTAAGAAAGAACTGTCAAAGCAATGAGTGTTGGAATTGTTCAACTCATTAATTACTTAGAGATGAATCCTAGAAATAATATGAAGATGTGTAAACACCAACAGTGCAAACATCACTTCAGTGTTTGCACATTGTAGACAGACTATAGTAATGTCCTGTATACATTGTTCAAGCACAACTGTTCCCTGACTAGCTATGGGACAAAGACTTTAAGCTTTTATTGATTAAATGCTGTATAAACCTTGCAAGGTTTTAGAATTCACTGAGATAACCTGTTTTGCTTGGAAGGAAAGCCCCCCAAAAGTGGGATTATTATTGGGATTTAAATATGTGTTTGTGACTCTGAAAATGAACAATTGCATTGAATATGCTGCTTTACTCCATTGCAGAAAAAGGAAAAACAGATCAAGCTCTAGAGGCATTACAACTTTATTTAAAATTATTAGCACCAAATATCAGAGAAGAACTACACAGGCTCCTGACATTCCTAGCCATTGCATCAGAATCTGAGGGCTACAGATTACAAAAACAAGTAAGTATCTGCTATGTTTAATGTAGAAAATAGCACTTTTCTATAGCAAAGCTAATGTTTTTGTCCAAAGGTAGAAGTATTCTATTTACTGCCTTTCAACATGATCTGTTTTAAAACAAATATCAAGATGTTTTCCCACTGATAGCATCCTGTTATATGTAGTCTTTACTAGCACATTGCAAGTCAAGCTAATGCCAAATCTGGGTACTTCTTTTTCTAGTTTGAGAACAGATTGGTGATCATCAGGACTTGCACAAAGTTCATCTTGCAAAATAGAACACTGTCAAAACCACAGGCAGAACTGCTGACTCAGTTTCTGATGGACAATCACTCTGAGCTCTTCAAGGTATCATTTTCCTTACATCATTGGCATTTTAAATGTTAAATGCCATGAACTGCGTTTTTTCAAATAGGACAAGTCTGAGGAGCAGTATTTAATGTTTTATCTGTTACAGTTTAACAGTACAGCCGAGCAGGGTGAGAAGCTATTCTAGACTATGAAGGACAGATTTTTGAGAGCTTTGCAATCCTTTATAAATTATATCCTTTCTCTTTATCTGCATCGTGTGTATTCAGAAAATATTTAAAGTATCAATGTTTTGTAGAGGCCTTTTGGGACCTTGTTTGTAATGGCTGCCTCCTAAATCTTTAGGCATCTTAGCGTCTTTCTCTTTTAGAAGCTCGCTGACATACTCTGAGTTGTATATAAGATGGTGTGCTCTGGTGCCCCAGTGTATGTGTACAGCTCTGATAGCTCTAAAGTTCCTTTGGTATTTTGAAATGTTAACTTGTAAATTAATAAATAGAACCACAAAATGAAATGACCTTTCTATTAAGCTTGATCAGCTATGTAAATATACAGATGTGCTTTATAGTCTCTTTTGTTTATGTTCCATCATATTGTCACAAATGTGAAAAGATGGAACTTTCCCATACTCTATACAAATAAGATTCACAGAAACATTGATTTGGTTTCAGTAAAATATTGGTTTTAATTCTTATGCAACATATGCATTTCCAATTCTGACTTTGGGTCAAGAGACACGGGAGATTTTACTTTTTTTTAAATTAGCTCCTGTTTAGTTTGAAAGTATCGAGTGGTTAGTGAGAGTTTTGTATGCGTTAATACACAGCCAAACCCCATTTTATTTTCTTAAATTTTTTTTTTCCTTTTTCTTGATACTCTTGTATCAAAAGTTCTGATATAAACGTTAGGGCTTTGATTCCTGATTGGAGATGGAGCCAGAACTGCAGAGCAATGACAGCAGAGGAGATGGTGGTTTGCTCTTTCATAGCTGCAGTTGAGAGCCTAAGCTGAAATCAGTTTGTTTTATGCTACAGTTTTTGACATATCACTGGAAAACATCTAGAGATTTTTGCTTCCTATTTCTTTGGCCAGAAATACCAGAAATAAACATATGTATCTTAGTAAAACTATGTGTTTTAGTCTAATTGTATGAGAGATTTTGAATGTGTACCTAAATAAATGTAGGCATAGATTCTTCTGCAGTTAACTGTGGGTTTGTTTTTTTAATTGGTCATCTGAAAGCTTTAGATTATCAAAACAAAGAAGTATTGCTTTTGTAATTTTTCCCTTATTGGGTTCTATTTTCAGACTCCTTTAACTCTTCTGGAACTAACAAGTAGGAGACTTGAGAGTTTGCTAGAAGGACAAGATCCAGATATCAATTCAGGTAGATGACGTGATAAACATTTTTATAGAAACTATTCTATACAAACTGGTTCATCATTAGTTGACTATAAGTCTGCATAGACTGTGTTCCTTTGTTGGAAGTGAAAGGTGAGTGATTAGCAGCTAATGCAATAAATAATTGAATTATAGGCTATCAGCAAAACTCTTGTCTGAATATTAGAGAACAAGGGTTCTAGTAATTACCTCGTTTGAATACATTACAATTTTTTTTATTATTTCTGGAGATAACAGTGCAAAATGTGCTTCCTGAAGTGACTTGCTTATTATTTGGTTTGTGAATGTGATGTGATTTTTGTATTTAGGAACAGTATTCTTTTATTTCTTCCACAAGACACCTACAAATTCTCGTAGAGCTCAGTAGTTACAGGTTCTGATAGATGTCTTGAGCACAGACTTTGTTCAGTGTTTTGAAGAACTCTCTTCTTCTTCTAGGTAAGCACAGTTTATTAAGAGCTATTTGACACCAAGTGTCAAATGCCTTTTTTTAAACTACACTACCTTTGTGAATGTGGGATTAGTGTTTTTCAGCTTATTTCTTTTATGAGCTAAGATTCCATCTGTCTTTGCTGCCAGAAATATCTTGAAGCACTGATTAAAAGGGTTGGCTTAAATAATTGAATTTCTCTCTGACTACCTTTTTTTCTTTTGACTTCTGTATTGCCAGTGTTTATGTGCTTAAACATTGAAGAAAAATTGAGTCGGGTACTGATAACACTAAGTTATTTTGCTGTGTAATACTACATTTAATACAGCATCTGCCTGAGAAGTAGTTTAGTACTTCTTTGGTAAGAATCTCTTAACATCTGTGGTGAGTTCTGGAATGTATCCAAATTCCCTCCCATTCAGTGTTCTGAGAATCACATTGTGTAGCCAAAAAATTCAGAGATGAACAACAGAGGAAAGAGCTGCTTGTCTGCAGTATTCTTGGAGCCTGTGTCGTCTCCATCAGCACATTGAACAGACAACTGGAAATACAAGCCCCATACCATATTCTTTCTACTAAGCTTTAGAGTTTCAATCTGCAAATGCATATAGGTTCCATCTACTTGCTGAAATACCTAGTTTGATCTAATTGTAAGCTCTCTGGCATGGCATATTTCTGTTTTCCTGTGTGCCTCATATTCTGGTGTCATTTTCCCTTTTCTCATAAAGGAGACATCAGGAAAATCTTTCTTGGGAGCTACTGAGCGTGCTTAGCTGGTGAATTTCTCAGGTGTGGGTGGGAGCAGGAGGGAAGGCTGGGGGACCCTGATAAGAAGAGGAGTCTGTCTATTGCAGGAGGGTAAACCTTAGGTCTGCTGGAAATACAGAACACCAAAACCACTGAGAAAATTCTGGGGTTGGTTTTAATCTAGTGAGCCACTTATACCACCAGACTAAAGGATCCATGCTGAAGTTTGGATAACTTTGACAGAAGCTTTCCCTTTTGAAGAACTATCTTTTTCTTCATTTGACCCTATGACACCATAAAAGGTACTGGTGTTTGACAGACTCATTGTAAAAGATGGGAAGGACACGTCCGTGTGAAAACTCTGACAGCTCAGGTTAATAACTGCTCTCTATGTGAAGTCTTAAGATGATGGTGTTTGTACAGAAGGATTACTAAGAATTTTTTCCCCTTTAGGCAACTGACAGTTGTTCAACCAAATCACTTTCTAACACGTATAGGAGGAAAAAGTGTCTGTGGAGTAGCTGAATGCCAGTCTTTCCTCAAGCCAGAACTCACCTGCCCAGTGATGGGGCTTGAATTCTTGCAGGGCAGTGTTGCATAGATTCCCAATCTTTTTATGGCTAAGTCGTGCTTGAGTTGCATATTTCTTGGGGTTGTTCCTGGCTCTGCCCTCACTCTGAATCACTGCCTCTTGTATCACCTCTGCTTCTGGTGCCCAAACTATGCTTAGCTGTCTACTCGTTTAGAAGCTCTTAAATTCTATTCCTGATTTCTGAAGTGTGGTTCAGAGGCAACTGTTTCTCCACAGTATTTATTCACTTGTATTAAGTACTGGACCTTGGTACAGATCTGATTCATTCACAGAGAATCATTGGATCATGACAATGTAAAGTGCCATTCTTGTTGTGTGATGTTCTTCATTATGGTTTCTGTTTGTGAGAACTGTATTTGCTCTTTGTCTTGCATGCCTGTTTGCAGTATAGAATCATCTGTGATACTGCACTTGCAACACTGTTTTTCAATTTTATTTTTGCAATAAAGTTTAGATGTCCCTCTGTGCTCAGTGGAGGGCTTTCACATTGTTTGGAGATGTAATCACATCTGAAGTGGAATATCTGTATATCTATGTTTCTGATCATATTTTTTAACAAAGCTTTTACATGATAGGTGAAGCTTACTCTGAACCTCTCATTTCTTACAAAGGCTTCACCTTCTGTCAGCGCATTACAACTCAAGAGTATGAAGATCAAAAACAACAAACCAATCAGCATCTTCTAGCATTGATTCAAGAGATGGACAATGACCCTACTGTTCCTTTGAAGCAAAAGAAGAAATTAATCAAAGAATTCAAAAAATATCATTGTCTATTGTAGTGGTTGTAAAACTACATGTGAATTTTGTACTCCAAATGGTTTGACAGCAATACAACCTTTTTTTATCTCTTTTAAAAAAAGTGGAGGATGCACATGAAAATTGTTCATCATAAAAAAATGTTTTCTTCTTATGTCTTTACATCTTCAGTTTCAGGAAATACAACTATCAAAATTACTATGGTGCTAAAAAGCATTAAATCTAATTATTCTTTTAAGCAAAATGTACTTAATTAGTCATAAGTTAATACAACACTGCTTGTGCTGCTTTGAGTTCAGGGTTTGGCACTTTTTTCCTTCTGTCCCATAACCCCATGGCACGCTATCTGAGCCAAGTCTACATTCAAAGCCATGTTTGGGTTGATAATCAGTAGGGGATTTTAATCTTTTCTATCTGTAATTAATAATAATTGAAACTGTAGATTATGACTCCTGCGGGTGTTGTAAAAGCGTAAAAAGTGTGTCAAAAATGTTAGAAGCAGGTAACTGGGTTTTGAATCTAGCAGGCAAAATTTCTTAGGCAGGGAAACTGTGTGTGCTTGCAGGCATTAATTACATCCTGTTGTTACTCCCTCTCCACTATGGCAGACTGAGCTGCTGCTAATTCAGCAATTATGCAAAAGCAAGTAAAAAATTACATTTTGAAGAAACCTTAGAAATAATAATCTGGGTTTAGATCTCTTGGTATACTTAAGTAATTTATTTTAACATGAGGACAGTTTGAGAGTGTCTAGTTATTTATCATAAATACTTTGATAATGTTTATGAATTTTTACAGCAAAGGTGGAAAGCATGTTGGCCCGTCTTGACACATTGATGGTTAACTGTACATTAACAAGAAAATGTTGATACAAGTCATACAATCATAGAATGGTTTGGATTGGAAGGAACCTTAAAGATCATCTTATTCCAACCCCCCTGCCATGGACAAGGACACCTTTCACTAGACCAGGTTCCTCAGAGCTCCATCCAACCTGGCCTTAAACACTTTCAGGGATAGGGCATCCACAACTTCTCTGGACAACATGTTCCAGTGCCTCACTACCCTCACAATGTGAAATAAATGATTTCCAGAGGAAAAAAGACCACATTTCACCTTCCAGAGGTGAATGCCCTAAATCCTAGACTACAGGCCCATGTGTTGTTTTCCTAGCCTTCTGTGGGATTTCTAGCCCTATGTCATTCTCCCAGAAGAGGGAGCATGTACAAAGCAGGTTATTGAGAATTTTAAAAAGGAAAGTATTTCCCAGTTAAGTGCTTTTGGTGTTGAGTAGTGGGAGAAAGGGATTTTAGTTGCCTTTTTTTTTCCTCTCTTCTCTGTCTCTGTCTTCAGTCCTTTTACTGGGTCTTACTCAAAATACTAAACCTGGTAACAGGGAGGGGTGATAACATGGTAATTTGTAGGCTAGATGAGTGGTGAACTGCTTCAAGGAAAACTGTATTTTTAAAAAACAAACTCTTGCACTTTGTGACTTGAATTTTTTTGTGCTAATCTAAAGAAGATAATAAAGAACTGTATTAAAAGTGACAAATCTATCATTTCATAGTCCATTCGTACAGAAGAGGCAGCTAAGGGGGTGTAGATCCAGGTATCAAGTAGTAAGGAGACGTTCCAAACAGGCATTTATAGCTGCCATGTGGTTCCTGTCAGTTCATGGGACAAGAAGTCGAGATTGATCTAGTTCTGGGAAGGGAAGGGAAGGAAGAGCTTTTGAAAGCCCTGTTTTATTCATATACCCTGACAGGAGAATTTACTTACCATTAATCTTCCGTTGAAAGAAATGTGATATTTTACATTTAATTATGAGGGCCTGCTGAACAGAACAAGTTTGGTGAACTATAGCCTACTGGTTTTCGTTGTAACGCTTTCAGTTAAATTCCAAAATTAGAAAAATGTTATTGGACTTCACAAAGTTTTGTCACATATTTTTAACAATATTCGACACAGAATCATCTGGTAGAGAAACTTGGGACCTCTCATTCATTTCTGTTTATGATTTCTAGCAGAGAGCTATCAAATTAATTGCCAGTATAAATTTGTTTGAAGTAGAAAATTTCCAGAGCAAAAAGTTTAATCTATAGGTACTTTTCAGTACAGTCTTACCAAAGTGCAAGTGATGCCACCTTCAAAGTAAGAAGGCTTACTTCTACATACAGCTATCAAAATAACAGTGGACTAGACTTATTCACATCCTACACAATGTAATACAAACTGTGTCCAACAGTTTGTAGGTGTTGGTCTCACACCTTCATACCCCAGCTGCCTCCTCTGTGGCTCATATAGCTGTTAGCAGCAGGAGGAGGGTACCTCTTTCGTTCCTTTCAGTAGGTTAGACTAGAGGAAAGCCAACATGAGCTGGCAGTCCAAAGTAAAAAAGATCATATTCAAGAAGAATGATCATCTCTCATTCTCTGAAGCATTGGCTTCTCTTCTGTGTTGCCCTTATGCAAGGCAGCCAGGTAAGTGTACTGTGTGAGTATACCTACTGGTATTATGTTAGGGCAGACAGCAGAGGGAATGAGACACAGCAGGGTACTCCTCTGCAAATCTGAGAGCACTGAGTACCACCAGACCTAATAAAGAGGCCATTTCCCTGCTGCAGTGAGCTGTATCAGCTCAAGGTCAGTGTCAGCACCATGTATCTATTATCCACCCTGTCCAAGTGACCATCTCAGTCTTGGCAAGCAAGCAAGCAAGCCGGGTGGGACACCCCCAGCTAGCATGGCCCTCCCAGGTTTCTATCTGGCTATTAGCCCATGCTGTGCTCTTTCTCCTCCTGCAAGCCACGCTGCACAGACTGATGGCACAGTGACAGAGCTTCTGATGCCAGAAATAAAAAGTAGTGGGGTATTTGTGTTTATCTAGGATGCATGGAGAGGACAGAGATGGGTTATCAGCTAGGGCACAGCTGCAAGCTTTTCTCACCTTTGTGGCTGCTTCTGATGTCACCTTTTCAAACAGGTGAGGGGAGTGACACAAAGCTTATTTGCCGAGCCATTGTCCAAAACAAAAACCAAACAAAAAAACCCCACAACCTAAAATCCCTTTAAAAAAAGGAATTGTTCACTCTTTTCTCAAAGCCTAAGCATAGTTTCAATAGGAGTGGTCACACTAGAAGTATATTCCTCTCATAACTATTCACTAAAATAACGAAAAATAAAGCTCATGTATTTCTTTTCAAGATAGGCAATCTCAAAGACTCTTTTGGAGATGTGTTTAACGTCCATTTAATTGCATGTATGATTTAGAATGATATTCAGTTTAAAAAAAAAAACAAACCATTTCTTCTCACTATGTATTAATGTCACACTGGTAAAAGCAATTGGTATTTTTATTATCTCATGCATTGAGGTTTTCTGCAATAAAGAATACAATGAAGCTCATCAGTAAAAGATGAAAACATTATGAAATGACAAGTAACATATTATTTCATAGTATTAGGCTTGTAAAACTTTATTTTTAAACTCTGAAATTATTTTTTCCCAACCCAATTAAATACAGGAAAGCTAAAACACAATCCTAGCTGATGGAAAACAGGTTGTAGTTCAAAGAATTCCATTCTGAGTAAAACAATGGAATAACAACATATCCAACTATGCTACCTATATATCAAATTTCTCTTCACAGATGTTGTGTCCATGTTCTTCATAATCTTCTCTAGTTACTATCATGTCTTCAAAATCGTCATTTTCAGAAATGAGCTTCCCACCTTCCCAAGAATAAGTAATAGGGCTGAAAAATGAAAAAAGTTATTGTTACTCATCTGTAAGTTCATTTAGAATAGAAGTATGCAGTGATGATTTCCAAGACTTTCATTTAATCATATCTATTTAGAAATACATTTTTGATTGCTAAATCAAACCATCCAGCTTCTGAGAAGTTATGAGACAAAGTTTGAAATTTTAGCAGGGCTAGTTGACTTTCCTTTTTAAAAAAGTGCCTCTTTGGAAGTATGTGTGAAGAGGGAATGGCACAGACATGTCTTTGTATTTACTATGCACAGATAATGATTCTTTAATAATATTTAAAAATAGTCTTTAATAATACTTTTTAAAAAGTAGAGATTTTTTTGTACTTTCAAGGTATATTTGTTTTGTCTCAGTTCTCTCTGCAAAGATGTTACCCCTTCCAAATCCCTGAAGTAGCTACATTAATAATGACATGACAGCATTCAGATGCTGAAAATTCTTCTAAGTAAAAGTCTAAATTCATTAATCTTGCATACTTGCATATCCATTTAATGAAAATAGTCTTATTTATCTGTTTACAATAAAAAGGCTGATCCTAAAAACACTTAACTTTATTAGCCAAAGTACAGAGCAAGCAGGTGGTATCTAATTTATTTGGTTTGTCTGAAAATACACTGATTTAAAATATTCTTTTTGTACAATTTTTGTTCACTTAATATTTAAATCAACACCTTTACTCAGTCTATCTTTTTAATCAGCAAAAGAAATCCTACTTTATAGTTTGTTCTACTAGAAAGATAAAGCCTTCTGTTTAGAAGTTTAGAACTTACTTTTCAGGAAGAACAACAGAAACATCGTAATCAGTTGGAGTAAGACATCGAACTTCCGAATAAACTCTATCTCTAAAGCCTGGAAAAAGGGTGTTTCCTCCAGTCAGAACTATGTTCTTGAAGAAATGAGGCTGCATTTCTGTAAAATAAATAAGTAAATCTGTAGTTAGAGACTAGTTAAAGATTAAAGGGGGTTTTTTTTCCAATTTTGTTATGAATTGGAACAGAAGTAGGAAATATGCATAGAAGAATTTTATGATCATCTAACCAGTTAAATACAAGAAAGTGATCAATCACCCTATGTTCTTCCTGATTGTAGAATTTGGCTTTGATAACTACTGTTTTCTTACACTGTCTGTTAAATTTCATGTTTGCCAACACAATTCCCCATTCAAAAGGGGTTTTAAATAACACAATTTTTAAAGAGTATACATTAATAGCCTAAATGCTGCCATACTTATGTGGTATGATAACGGTAATCAGCTGTACATCATCTATAAAATGAAAGCTTTAGTATTACTTCTGACAAACAGCAGTCAGGAAGGTTCTACACTTTGATGCTTAATTTACTAAATTTGGCCACTTTCATTTTTCTCATCGGTTTGATTTTTCTCTTCCTCCAGTAAAGAAAGATATTTTAAAAGATAAGTAAAACTAATTTCAAGTTTATTCCACCATTAGTGTCAAAGACAGACAGGTTATGTTAGAAAAGGATGTTAAGAAGAATTAAGTCTACAGAGATTAGCTGATTCAAGAGTAGAAACCTATCAATAAATCACCAAAAAACAGGGCTGGCCTAACACAGACTTTTGCAGACAATCAGTTCTAGAGTATATAAAATGCATCAAAAGACAGAACAGTTCACCAAACTGTTTAACTGGCATATTGAGAGTTTTAGCTTTTCTAAGACTATTTGGATCCTTAAAAACAAAACAAAACAACAAAGAAATCCAAAACCAAACCAACAACAAAACCCACCACAACATCCCTCCTTCCCCCACCTCCCATCCTTTTCATAATATTTTTAGGTTATACCTTCGGGTAAATTCTGAATAGAATAAACAATGGCTTCAGGAATTCCCATCTCTTGAATACCAATATCCGAAGGATGGAAGAGTATTTCTGGAACTGCAAATCTTTCATTCGTTAGACGAAGTATTTGTTCCCCAGTCTTGTATTTTCCACTTAACACCATCTCTTCCCTCGGCTACATTAAAGACATGAATAGTACCCACTGCTTAAGAAAAGCAATCACATTCTAGAGTATTCAGTTAATCTATTTCATGTACTGCAGAGGTAGGCAGTCATATTATCAACAAATCTTTTAAGAATAATTCATACTCTGGTATTAAATCTGAAGTGACTTTGCTCTTATCAACCGCAGTTTTGTCGGAAGGAAAACAGAACTGGTATGCATGAGAATGGCCCTAAAATATTGGGACTACTTTCAAAATTATGTCCAACACAGTAAATGAGATAAAACTGTTAAATTGTCTTCAGGCTCTTCTATAAAATGACTTTGAACTTTCTACCTATTAGGGTATTTAAATGAAATTCAGAGAGATTGACAAAAAAGCATAAGAGCAGAGAAAACATTTTCTAACTTAATGTTAAAAACCCCCAACAATAATCATATGGATAGGCTGTATGACAGAGCACAAGCATAGAAAGCTACAACTGTTCAATAATAGAACATAAAATGCTATGCTGAAAAAACAATATTTCATTTTCATCTCAACTTACTACGGAAAAGCTTTACCAATTAATGCATAGCAATGAAAGATGTTACAGCATTAGAAAAAAATAGAGTATTTTTAACTTCTCTACTAGACTTGTGCAGGGGAACAGTCCCAAAAAAATTTCAAAACTATTATTACCTTACAAAATCCTTTTTTGATTGTGCTGAAGTCTGGCAAAACATAATCTACCATTACAGTATTTTCCTCTCCTTTCAATCTGAAAGAGAAGAATGTAAAATTCAACAGAATAAAGAACAGGTTCTAAATTCCAACTATTTTATACTAACAAGACTTTTTTTCATTTAACTGGAAAATTTTCTGATTAAGAGTATAGTTTTATTTGTTTGTACAAATAGATTATTCAGAAGTACCAACATTTACATTTAGTACTGCTGCATACATACTTGGCAATGTCCATGTCCTTGTAAAAGTCTTGAGAAACATAGCACACATCTTCTTTCACTTGATTAATTACATGCGTTTCATCCATAACATGTAGCTGTCTGACAAAACCAAAAACCAAAAACACTGAAGTTTGAGAATAATCAAGTCTTCCATTTCCTGTCCAGTTTTCCACTGGAGGTGAGTAACCATCATTTTCATGTCACAGAAAACTAGTGCCTCAATACCTAAAACTCATATTCAATTTACAAATGCATTCCCGGCCTACTGGAGTTTAGTATTTTCCTATTTCACAGTTCAGTAAATACAAATATTAACCTGCATTTGCCCATTGTCTTCCTAACAAGCATAGCCATAATCCTGCAATTAGCTCTCTTAGCAAAGACCTTGACCTAGATAAAGTTCTAAGCTAAAGCATCCCAGTGAAAAGTTGACCCTATTGAATTTTATTTGTGTTATTGATAATTGGCAAACTGACTGATGATCTACTGAGACACCTCAGAAAATATGTAAAGACTTGTATAATTGTGAACACACAGCTAACCTCATCAACTTCAAAAGCGCGGGCACTTTGAAAAATAACAGCCTAATTCTTCAAAGAGTTTAAGCTCATCTTAATTCATCCTGAGCTGAAGGTCAAGATGGCAGTTAGCAGATTATAACAGACAAAAATTCCCTTCTCCTTTAAACAGCATTTAATCTAAAATTCATAGAACCAGGAAGAATACCCCATGAACTTTTAGCTCATTTCATACCAAGTTTCATAGTGAAGATCAGCATGCTTTACCTGTAAGAGATGATCTCCTTTAAATGGTTGGTTAAGAGTTTCCCTCCAACATTAATCCTACAGAAAAGGAGTAACACAAGGCATTCTGTCATTATTAACTTCAGGCATAGAAAACGATTCTTCTAGAAAATATATACTGCAGTTTACCTTATGATTGCCTCTTTCTTCTTTTTACTTCTACAATAAGGTACAATGTGTGTAAAAGAGTATCCACTATCCACAATGATACAACACAGCTCAGATGGATTATCTCGGAAATACCTGTGTGCACTAAGAGCTCCAGCTGAAATACAGGAAATTTAATTCAATTTTTATGTGAATATACACTTTTAGAATTTACAGTGATCTGAAAGTGTACTTGCTTCATATTTTAAATGCCGTTGACAGACTTCCAAGACCTCAATACATAATACTACAGTCAACACATGAATTCATTTTGACAGTGGATAAAATTACGTGTTGTATATGGCCCCATTTAATCTTTTTCAGGAATTCTGGGCCACATTCAGTTTCCCCTCCTAAAGTCCAAGCACATTGATCACATCACAACTTATCAAACATATATAAAGGAGTATCTCATGTCCTGTTACCTTTCAGAAGGGTGGCGATGTTATTTACATATTCCCTGTGAGATACAATATATTTCATGATTGTAATGCTGCATTTGATTTGCTAATACAAAACAAAACCGAACAAAAAACCAACCTCAGGCCCCCAAAAATAGAAAGCTACCAAAGACTTCATGCAAATTTTTGGTAGACTTTTTCAAATGCTATCCTTTTTTAAAATCCATCTGTTATTTCTGTCATCCTTACTCTCCTCAAATTTCTTGTAATTCCATACCATGACACTCTCTTCAGAAAATAGGGCAACAGTACAGCTGGAATTTATAAAATAAATAACTTTTAAAATTTTAATACAGTTAAGAGTACATGTACAAGTATATTACTCAAGAGCCAGGAAGGAAATTAAGGAATTTTTATACTATCTTTATGTAAATATATATATATATGTATTTGCGTACGCATGTATGCTTTTTATGTATGTATTTATTTATTTTAAAAGGGTTAAGCTTCAAGATATATAAATGCAAACTAGAAGGAGACAGACTCACCATTTACTCTAAGAACCGCTTGAAATTGATATTCTTCAAATAGAATTTCATTCATAGATTCTTGTATTGAACTGAAGTTAAAATAAGGTTCGGTAATAATAATATTGGTATCTACAAAATCCACCTATGAAAAATATATTAAGATTGTCATTACATAAAACCAATATATTTTGGCCTACTGACCTAGTTCATCTCTTGTATATTAAATATTTCTTGATCTCTAAACCACACTGGATCTGTCTGTGATTATTGTTTTTCTTCAGTTTGCAAAAACATAAATCCCTGTGATTTCTAATTGAAGACACTTTCAAAGAGAATAGTAAACTCTCCAGTTCTATTTTAATATTTGAGGTACTTATGTTAATTTCATTAGTCAGTATTTAATCTACACAAAATAAGTAATTAAGAAAAGGCTCTTACTTGATACATTTCTTTTCCAAAAAGATAATCCCAAACCTGTCTCTGGACATCCCAGTTCACCAAGTAACCCTGTAGGAATTTAGAAAAAAACTTTCACTATTTAGAAAAAATAAAATCATACTTAAAAAAAGGTCAAATGATTGATAGACTGATAATATAAAAGGTTTGGAGAGTTAAAATGTTTAAATTTGCATTTCTAGGCTAAGGAGTAAATGTTACATAGCATAAAGTATGTTAAAAATATTCCTCAATGATATGTTAATTACTACACTACAAAAACAATGTAAACTGTGTTTTCTGTATACATTATTCTCTTTGGCAGAAGCCTGTCAGTCTGCCCATGGTGCCAGAAGTGGTTATGGAGCAGATTATCTGGAGTGCCATCACACAGCACATACAGAACAAACAAGCAACCAGGTCCAGTCAGCACGGGTTTATTAAAGCTTGACTAACCTGACCTCTTTCTTTGACAAGGTGACCTGCTGAGTGGAGGAAGGAATGGATGTGGATGTTGTCTACCTGGACTTCAGTAAAGTCAGACAAGTCTGAGCTGGCTGCTCATGGCTTGAATGGGTGTGCTCTTTGCTGGGTAAAAAACTGGCTGGAAGGCTGGGCCCAGACTGGTGGTGAATGGTGCCACATCCAGTTGGCATCCAGTCACCAGTGGTGTTCCCCAGGGCTCAGTATTGCGGCCAGTCTTGTTTATTATCTCTATTGTCAACCTGGACAAGAGGGTTGGGTGTACCCTCAGTAAGTTCACAGAAAGCACAAAGTTGGATGGAAGTGTTGATTTGTTGGAGGGCAGGAAGGCTATGCAGAGGGATCTGGACAGGCTGGATTGATGGGCCGAGGCCGGTTGTGTGAGGTTCAATGAGGCCAAGTATTGGGTCCTGCACTTGGGTCACAACAACTCCATGCAGGGCTTCAGGCTGGGGGCAGCGTGGCTGAAAAGCTGCCCAGTGGAAAGGGACCTGGGGGTGCTGGTTGACAGCAGCTGAACATGAGCCAGCATTGTGACAAGGTGGTCAAGAAGGCCAATGGCATCCTGGCTTTTATCAGAAATAGTGTGGCCAGCAGGACCAGGGAAGTGATTGTCCTCCTGTGGTCTGCACTGGTGAGGCTGCACCTCAAATCCTGTGTTCAGCTTTGGGCTCCTCACTACAAGACATTGAGGGGCTGACGTGAGTCCAGAGAAGGACAACAGAGCCGGTGAAAGGTTCAGAGAACAAATCTTATGAGGAACAGCTGAAGGAGGCTGTTTAACCTGGAGAAAAGGAGGTTCAGGGAGGACTTATTGCTCTCTACCACTACCCGAAAGGAGGCTGTAGTGAGGTGGGGGCTGGCCTCTTCTCCCAAGTAACAAGCAACAGTACAAGAAGAAATGGCCTCAAGTTGCCCCTGGGAGGTTTAGATTGGCTATTAGGAAACATTTTCTCACCAACAAGGCTGTCAAGCACTGGAACAGGCTGCCTAGGGAATTGTTTGAGTCACCATCCCTGGAGGTATTCAGAAGATGTGGCACTTAGGGACATGGCTTAATGATGGACTGGACAGTGCAGGGTTAACAGTTGGATTTGATGATCTTAAAGGTCTTTTTCAACCTAAACAATTCCATGACTCTTAAACTTCACACTATTGACTCTGATTCTTGGATAATACCACTCACAACCCTGCAGCTGTGGTATATTGTATGAAAACTATTCCTTACAAAAATTTATGTTTCGCTTTCATGTTAAACTGAGGATTACTTACTTTCTGAAAGGGAAGAATATAAAAAAGACCAGAAGGATCCTTAATTTCATCCAGTTGATTTGCTGTAAAGGTTTTCAAACGTGCAGTCTTTGATCTGAACTGACAGTTGGGAATAACGCTGGAAAAGATTGGGAAGTTTCCTATTCAACATGGTATGAGACACATTCATTCTTTATGCCACTTGCATAAATAGTATACATTCAATAATGTTTTTGCTGCTGTATTTTGGTTTTAGTCCATTTACTGGAGCTAGTTACGAGGGAAATCTCCAATTTCTGACACCTCCGGTACAGACAAGACACCTTTTCGAAAAACAAACCCCCCCAGCCACTGCGCTGAGCTGCAACCACCACCCCCCGGCCATCAGTACAATCAGAAAAGTGCCAGGGGCTCTTCTCCCACCCTGGCCGGTGGGGTATGGTGTGACACGAAGGAACGTGTTGTGACACGGCGGGGCACGGCAGGACATGGTGTGACACAGTGGAGCACACCGTGGTACAGTGTGACACGGTGTGACACGCTGGGGTACGGTGTGACACGCTGGGGTACAACATGACACGGCGGGACACACCAAGACAGCCCCGCCGACAGACCCACGCGCGCCGCAGGGGCGGGGCCCGCAGCCGCCGCAGGGGCGAGGCGGGGCCAGGCCGCGCCTCTCGGCGGCGGGCGCAGGCGCGGGCCGGTGAGGGGCCGAGAGGCGGGTTGGATCCGCGCTGGGGCCGGCGGGAGCCGTGAGGGGACGCGCAACGCCCCCCCGGTCCCGCCCCGGGCCCTCACCTGACGTTCGCGTGGCTGTAGCCGATCTTGGCGTTGTAGGCGCCGTTATCCAGCACCAGCGTCGCCATGTTCCCCACGGCGCCACGGCCGCCGCCGTCCCAGTATTGATCCGCCACCGCCGTGGATCTCTACGGTGACCATAGAGCGGAGGAGCAGCGCGCGTGGCCCGTCGGGACGCGGAGGTGCCGGCAGCGCTCCGCCTCCGCCTGGGGCCGCCCGCCGTGCCGGTGACGCTCGCGGGGCTGCGGCGCCATTGGCCGGGCGTGACCCGGCAGCGCTCGGCAAAGGGGCGGGCGGGGCGGTGACACGGCGTCACCGCGGACAGCGCCCCTCACTGCCGCCCACCGCGCCTGCCTGCGCGCACAGACCCTGCCCCGGCCGCCGTCAGCCCCGCGGGGGCGGCAGCGACCGCTGGGGACCGGGCGGGGCCGTCACGGCGAGAGCTGAGGTCGGGGGTGTGTTACAGTTACCGCGCGGTCGAGGGAATGCTGTGCCCTCGGGTGTTCCTGGCAGTTCGGGGCGCTGCCATACGGGAAACCCGCGCCTCGGGGAGAAAGGTGATGTTCGATAATCACGTTATGTGGGAAGTGAGCAGCAACACGGGGCTGCGCTCTGTAAGCGTGACAAAATGAAAAGAGAGACGATTCTTTAAATCCCACCGTCGTTATTTTAATGTTACAGAATCACAGAATCAGTTAGCTTGAAAAAGACCTCTGAGATCATCGGGTCCAACCTGTGAAAGAACACCACCGTATAATCTAGACCACGGCACCAAGTGCCGTATCCAGTCCTTAAACACCTCTAGGGACAGTGACTCCACCACCTCCCTGGACAGTCATTTCCAATGCCTAATCACCTGTCCTGTGAAGAAACTCTTCCTACTGCTCAACCTAAACCTCCTCGGGCACAGCTTAAGACTATGTGCTCTTGCCCTGTAGCTGGTTGTCTGGGAGAAGGGGCCAACCCCCACCTGGCTACAACCGCCTTTCAGTAGAAAGGAGGTGTTCTAAGCATGCTGTGATTAACACTATTTTATTATAAATAATATTAAAAGCAGTGTTAGAGTTCTCTGTGGATGCAGCCCAGGATCTGTTTTGCCTTTGCTGTTGCAGCAGTGTACTGCTGACTCCTGTTCAGCCTGCTGTCCACCTGGACCCCCAGATCCTTTTCCACAAGGCTGTTCCTCCTGCTACACAGGTCTGAGCCTGCACTGGGCTCTGTGTGTATGTTGTCTCAAGTGCAGTACCTTGCACTTCTCTTGATGAATTTTGCTGTCTTTATATGTTTTACTTACCATCACTATCTTTTTTCTTATCCAGTTAAAAAAGCGCACTACTGCTTTGCATCTGTGTGTAATTGACTCTCCTTTAAATATGAGAACTTAAAAATAACTGCTGCTCTCTATGACGACTCTTTACCCTAACAAATATCAAATGTCTTTCTGTGAGCCAGGATGCTTATTGGAACACACAGCAATCTGATTTTAGACAAATCCTCTTTATGTGCTTGTAAAGGAAGTGTATCTTAAGGACAGCATCCTTAATCCTCACTCTAGCAGACACATTATTTGGTTCTTGAGGAGAGGTCAGAGGAATTATCAAAAGCCTGTTTTTCCAGTTCAGGAGTTTCTGGGTGCATTTAAAGAACACCGTAAAGTGTTGTTAGTTCTCCTTCTTTGCCTACTGACAGGTATAGTAATAGTAAATTTGGGGGTTGTAATTAAAATCCAAAATACATAAAACAGAATAGTAACAAATTATTTAAGTATTCAGTGTTAAAGAGAAGCATACAATATTACTGTTAAAATTACATAACTTTTACTTCATCCTTTTACTCATATAAACTTCTTAAAAGAATAGTTTAGACTCAAAAAATCATAATAGCTATTGCTAACTTTTGCCTTGTAAAAACAAAGGTGAAACCCAGAATTTTGTAAATTACTTTTTCCCTTCTAGATACTAGCTCCAGTTCTATGAAACTTCATCTGTTATCATTAATGACTTATGTTGGATTCAGAGTTAGTTTCACTTTTTTCTTTCTTTTTTTTTTTCAAGACCTACAGGACAAGTGCCAGGCTATTAAGAGTTCACTTAGATTTATGTGTAGTGGTTGATATACATAAATATTTTAAATCTCTTGGAACTAAAGTTGGTATATTTACTGTCACTGCTACCTGAGGGCAATTCATACATATTTATTGAGTTTGTTTAAACATTCACTGGTGTATTGCAATGGCACTTCTGATAATACTTTCTGTTGTTGTTAGAGTACCTAACAAAGTCAGCCACACAGCAAGGACACATAAATAGGACTTTCAAAAGTCCATGCAGCAGCAAACCTTGTACCTTGCCCCTTACAACAGTGAGAATTGATATTTTGTGATGCTCTTTGAATAATGGTCTGTCAGACTACTCAAGCCTTGCACATCTGCATTTGAAAACAGACCATTATCTTTTGCATTATCCATGTGAAGCCATGCCAAATTTCTCATTCTGCAAATATGGTACAAAGCATTCACTGAAACTTAGGTCACATTTAATTTGCTGTGTTTTGTTGTTTTTTGTTTTTTTTTTTTTTTAACCACATCTCCTTTATTAGGGGAAAAAACAATTTTTTTTTGCTAATTCTGTGACCTTCATGTTTCTGAAGTTGCTTGAGTTCTACTTGGTTTTGTGTTTTTTTTCCCTCTCAATTCCATTCCAGTTTTTATAATTCAGAAATCCCTATGACCACATGAAAAGTCAAACTCCCTCTGCACACCCTATACAAACCACAGGTGCTTATTGGCTCTGCTCTGTGGGAACACGCAGCCTCAGAATGACTGAATGGTGCCACGTACAGAATTTGCAGGTTGTTTAGAACATCCAAAGGAAGTTGCCCTTGAGGAAGAAGTTATTGCGCCCTTTGACAGAGAGGGCATTATCCAGGACTTCGAATCCTTCTACTTTATTTAGGTGACAGTGAGGGGCAGGTTGATGGGTGAGGTGACTGCCTGATGGAAAACTCTACATCCGCGCCTTCTTAGGTTTTCTGTTAAATTAAAAGTGTTCGCAATTTGGCCCTGAAAATACCTATGGGAAGCATAAGACAATTTTTTTCTTTGAGATCATTTTAGTATCCTGGACACACTCACAAGTGGGGTTCTTTCTTGGTAACATGAGTGCCAGCTGCTAGATAAGGGAGGGAAGCCAGGAGCTGGGAGGGATACTGTGGCCAGCAGGGTAGGACCTTGCTAGAAAGGGCCTGTCCCACCACCAGGGAACAATGCTGGCAAGGGTGGGAGCGAAGCCCAGAGCCCAGGTCATCAAGCTGATGATAAAGCAGGTCCAACATCAAGTTAAGTCAATCCTCAAGTCAGGGGCAGGATCAAGACTACTGGGATGAGTAAGAATCAGACATAGTCCAGAGATCACCAGGCAGGTCCATGGTGACTGGGTAGGTCTGAAATCAACATGGAAAGCTGGTGCCCTTCTAATTCCCTAGGCGGTGGGGAGAATGTGGTATGTGGTTTGTGTTGATCTGTGCATTTTCCTCTGTTCCTCCATTCAGTGTGCTCCAGGAGATGGGAGGGATAACATGAGGTTACAATTCAGATCAGCCCTGCTGCACAGAAATATTTCTGCTTTTCGGTTCTGACATTGGTGAAGAGCCTCGGGACTTCCCCCGTTCTGTCAGTGCTATGCTTGCAAGACATTTGAAAGAGAACACGCAGCATGGGTCCTGTTTTCCTTGCCCCTCATATTTTCTCTCTTGATAAGAACCTGATCCATCATGATGATGAGCATTGTTTCTCCATGATACTGGTAGATTTTTTCCTAGTTGAGAAAATTGAACTTAAAACAGGCATAAAGTGTTAGCTTTCATACACAGCTCATTTCTACTTTATAAATCTCTTTTAAGAATATAATGAGGTCAGTATTGCACAACTGACTGTTTTTTAAATGTCTGGAAAAATCAATTGAAAATGTTCATCTCCTGACCTGTTTTTTCTATTACTGCTTCATATTTCTGACTTAAAGGTCCTTGGGGTTTTGGTTCATTGCTTGTAAATTATTAATGTTATGCATATGAGAAGCAGAGAAAATACTATCTGATGTCTTTCCTTTGCAGCTCTAGACTATTACAGAGACAGCAAGCCATCCTTCATATGGAGGTCACATCTGAAAAGCTTGTTAGTTTTCTAACTGATAATTTTTTTTTCTTTTCCCAGTTAATACTACTTTTTAGAGTCCTTGGTTACCTACCACTGAAACTCTTCAAGATACCTTTTCTGAATGAGGGACCACCAGACAAGAGGGTTACTGGATGAACAAAACTAATACAAGGCAATTATTTTTAACTAAGTTGGAGATTTTGCTACAGCATGATAAGCTGTTCTTTCAGAAGTAAAATAACTCATAGCTTTTATACTTGCCACAGATACCCAGTGAAATATAAGCACTGGAGAAACATGATTTTACAAGTCTCTGGGTTTGAGAAATTCAGCTCAAGGGAAATATTTGTGTGTGTATATATAAGAATGTATTGCCAAAGCCTTATAAGTTTCGGACAGTAAGCACTTCACCTTGCCATGTTCCATTTGTCTGGTGCTGTAGAAGCTGCTGCCATCCTATCTTTTAGCTCGGCCAAGATCAGGCCCATGCAAAGGTGTGCGGCTGTTGGGACACGCTCCACAGGCGGGAGGAAGGATAGAGCCACAGGCGGGGACGCAAAGAGACGCTTTCGGAGTTTTGGAGATGGGAAGGCTGAAGAGGGATGAAAGAAACAGCTGGCGGAGGAGAGCGGGGAAAAGGGGGGCGCTGGCACTGGGGCGGGCGCTGGCACTGGGGCGGGCACAGGCTGTGGGCGCTGAGCCCGGCCGGCGACGCTGCCCAAGCTCTGCGAGCGAGCAAGGGGAGGAGGCGCCGCTCTCGCTGCCCCGACCCTGCCCCGCTCCGCCCGCCGGGGCCGCCTCTCCCCGCGCGGGGCGGGGGCTGCGGGCCCGTCCCGCCCCCGTCACCGGGCGATGCTGCAGCCAAGATGGCGGCGGGCACTGAGTGAGCGCGAGCGGGGACAGCGGCTCCGCTCCCGGCGCTCTCCCCGCCTCGGGCAGGGGCGCGCAGAGGGATGAGGCGCGTTCCTGGTCCCGGCTGGTTGTCGTGAGGGGCGCGGGCAGAGAGACACCATGGCGGGGATTATCAAGAAGCAGATCCTGAAGCATCTCTCCAGGTCAGTGGGGCGCGATGCCCTGGGCAGGCTGAGAGGTGTGCAGGGCGCGGGTGGCGGCGGGTCCCTATCCCAGAGAGCGGCCCCCGGGGCCAGTGCGGGGCGGAGGGACCGGGCTTCATTCTGCCCGCGGAGGGTGGAGCATGAGCCGCCTCCTCGCAGTAATTTGGAGGCGGACGGGGTGGCCGTGTGCTCGTGTGGGACTGTCCGGCGGCGACAGCCGCTTGGCTGTCCCGTGGCCCCCTCAGCCGGTGCCCGGCGGGCGAGCGGGGGGGGGTCGGTGTGCCTGGCGCAGGAGGGAGTCATCGAGTGAGTCACTGCCGGGCTCCGGCCGCCTCCCCGCCGGGCAGACGGTGCCCGCCCCCGCTGCTCGAGGCGTGCAGAGGGAGAGGAGCGGGGAACACCCCGAACCTCGCCGTGGTTCCGAGGCGGGGGGGTGTTACAGCAGCCGCCCCCGTGCGCTGTCTGGCCGGGGCTGAGGGAGCTCGGCCTGTGTCCTTGTAGCTCAGGTCGCGACATCTGAGCTCTTGCAGACACAGGTGAAGCTGGGCGACAAAAAAGGTGCGTCCGGGTGCACGCAGAGGGATGAAAATAAGTTCGTCGTTTTCTGTGTGACTGAAATCATGTCTAACGTGCCTCGCGGGTTAAAGCAAAAAAAACAACCAAATAAACCTGCGGTAAAATTATGTGGCTGTCAATGTCGTGTGTTTGAAAGATGGAGAAACTGCAGAAAGTACACAATCTGACTGATACAGTTTTGAAAAGCCACATCACATTTTTCTCAAGGTTTTCTAAAGAGAGGCAAAAACCTGTTAGGTACTTGATATGTCATGATACCACAGCGTTGCTAATTCTTCAGAGCTTACTTTTGTATCTTAAAACATATAACCTGAAATATTGTTCCATTTTTTGCTTATTTTTTTCTGAAATGTTTTATTCTACTTTTGTGTGGTATTTCTGAAAATGTTTATAGAGGAAATCAAACCAAATGAATTGACAGATTGTCATTTGACTAATCTGTTATTGATGCACATGGAAAAACACAATTCTCATTCCAAATCCTTTGATATCTATCTGCTAAACATGATGTATGAAGCAGTAGTAGAATAATTTTTCTTCTTCATCCTATTCATGAGGT